TTATTGAAATTTATACTTTTTTCTATTATTTATTTTAATTATTTCTTAGAATGCAATAAAATTATATTAATTATATTTTCTTGCTTATCTATAATTAAGTGATTAATATAAAATATTTATATTTTAGGTGAGACATTATGCAACTGCTACTGCCACCCAGGCTTGCTCCTCAACCAATCTTGAATCTAAAGTATTAAATAATAAAGTTTTAGCTGTAGCTCTTGAGAATAATAGTCCCATATCACAAGTTTCTATTATTTTCAGGTAAATTTAAAACATGAATACAAAGCATTATTTATATTTTTATAAATATGATTTCTCAAATACATATAACATTTTAGATAGTAAACCATAATATGTTAAATATCATGTTAACCCCTTACGATATGATTTAAAACATGGAGCTGCGTACTATAGTTTGTTATATTTCCTGTTTCTTATGTTTAACTTTTAAGATTCACCATGAATAGAACTTGTATTTCTCATGTTTGGGCTGTAAAGTGCATCTCGAGTCTCATATGTTGTTATAGTGCAAGGGGTTAATGTAAACATATTATTTAAGATATTGATGAAGAATAATCTAATTAACTAATCATAAGTAAATTTTATATTAAGGGCTGGCTCACGTAATGAAACTTATCACAATCAAGGTATTAGTCATCATTTGCGTATTGTAGCTGGTTTGACAACATGTCGTTCCAGTTATTTTGCTATAACCAGAAATATACAGCAACTTGGAGGAAATATAATTACTACCAGTGATCGCGAAAGTATTGCGTATACGTTGCAAGTTACACGAAATAATTTGTAAGCTAAATTTGTATTTTTATTTTCTTAATATATTTCGTTAAATTTATGGAGAATAAGTCTGCATATTTATATATTTTACTAGGGATCAAGCTTTACAATTTTTAGAAGATGTTGCTACACAACAAGTATTTAAGCCATGGGAAATATCAGATCAATTACCTAGATTACGTTACGAGTTATCAAGAATACCTGAAACTACCCGTGTACTTGAACTTCTTCATAGAGCTGCTTATCGTACAGGTCTTGGCAATTCTTTGTTTTCCCCAAAGCGACAAGTAGGACAAATTAATTCAGAAGCTGTAAGTAATATTTAAATTTAATATTTTTAATATATAAGCATAGCTATTTAATATTAATAATTAATATATATATATAGTATTAATAATTTTTGTTATTTTCTAGTTACAACATTTTGTTAATACATGGTTTACGGAATCAAGATGTGCTGTTGTTGCAACAGGTGCCCCATTTTCGGAAGTATGTTCATTTGCTTCAAACTTAAATGTAAAATCAAATAAAGCTCAGGATGTACCTACAAAATATCATGGAGGAGAACTTCGTAAGGAACGTAATTCGTCAATAGCCAGTGTAGCAGTAGCTGTTGAATCTACAGGTTTGAATAAAGAAAAAGATGCTTTAGCATTAGCTGTACTACAAAGAGCTATTGGTACTGGGCCACAAGTGAAATGGGGATCCAGCATAAGTCCAATTTACAAAAGTGCGTTTGGTGTAGCTGGTAAACAAACATTTGCAATATCTGCATTAAATGCTATTTACTCCGATTCTGGTCTATTTGGTTTTATTTTCTCCAGCGAACCTAGTATTGCTGGATCGGTTAGTATCATCTTTATAATTATTATTAAGTACATTTATACACACAGTTAAAACAAATTTATTATATTTTTCAGTTAGCAGCATGTACCTATAAGTGGTTAAAGTCTCCCCAATTATCAGATGCTGATATTTCTCGTGGTAAAAATATATTGAAGGCTGACATATTATATGCTACTGAAAATGATTTTGGATTATTAGAAATCCTTCAACAGCAAGCCTTACTTAAAGGTACTGTTTGTTCTCCAAAGGAAATGGTCGCAAGCGTAGATAAAATCACTGCAAACGATGTTAAAAGTGTATGTATATTACATAGATTAAAATTTGTTTAAATGGATCTTATGTAATAATTAAATACAATAGTTTACTAATTATTTGAATCTATAATATATATTTGTTTAGATTGCCGGAAAGTTAGGCTCTGGTAAACCAACTCTAGCTGCGATCGGTGATCTTTGCAGTGTTCCAAATTTAGATGAATTGAGTTAGATGCTAAGTCTAACATTTCTACACAATTAGTATCAATTGTTAATAAACATCAATTTATAATTAAGCGATGGAACGATATTATCAGTGCTTAAAAAAATCAGTATATACGTGATCCATTGCAGTTATAACGTGTAATGCTTCTGTACATACCAAATAAAAATAAAAACTGCTATTCTGTTTGAGTTTTATTATTTTTTAAATATATTCAAATATATAAGTTACATAGAAAATTTCAACGGTATAATAATTATTTATGTACATTTACCATATATACAAAATTAATCTCAAGCAGGTGAATAGCAAGTTTTTTTGGAAAATGTAATTTCTTTAAAAATAAAAAAATTAAGAAAAATATATTTTATCGATGTAAAGTATGAATTACACATAATTGTTTATTTACAGAATATATATAATCTTGATATTCTACATTATTTTCATGTAAAATTTAGTTCTGTGTGGTGTGTGATTGTGCATATTCCTTTAATAAAATTTTATTTCTTCTATAGAATAAAATTTATTATAATTTTTGACGGAAGGCTTCAACGATTTTCCATTTATTATTCTTTGCAACATAGGCCTCAAATTTTCCAAATCCTTCAATAATTGAAACTAAAAGAAATATATCAATAAATTTAATTTATCTGTAGAAACAAAAAAATATATCTATAATATAAATACTTAAATTGATCATTACAAGAATACTTACATGTTTCTCCAATATTGAACTCAACTTATTAAGAAGACTTAAAACCTGAGAGTCTTTTGATAGAATATATTGCTGATAATGAGAATCAAGAAGAAGAATAGACCAATCATATAATTGCTTGTTATTTGGCTCAAATGTATCAAACTCATCATCTACAGTTTCTTGATCTAATTTTTCAATTAAATAATTTAACAATCTAAGTACTTCATCAAAATTTAAACCTGTCTTTAAGTATGATAATAAAAAAACATCAGAATAACTAATACAAAAGATTTTATCTAGAAATTTATTTCTTGTACTAAGTATTTTCTGGTCAGATATACCATTGCTCATACCGTTTTGCAATGGAATAAATGTGTCATCGGAAGTTCTCAATGAAAACATTAATAAATCAGTTAATAACTTTTCAGGTAAATCCTTGAAATTATTTAAACACCAATTTATTGCAATAACATCTTTAGACTCAATTAATTGCGGTATTAACACTTCTTGTATTCTTGCATCGCTTAATCCTTCAATTATGTAAGATAATATTTGTTTTGATATATTTTGTGGCATGTCATCTTGTCTAAATGTTGATTTCATTGGTTTTGTGTTTTCCCAATGAGCTATTATTGAATCTTGCACTATAACTACTTCATCTTCTTCATTTTCATGATTATTTTTAAAGCGTACAGATGAACCCAACATTGCTGCTATCCTCTGTGGTGCAAGACGATATGGAGCAACAGCTAAATGTCTATTCGCTGCAAGTAATAATTTGTCCTCTACTCTCCACATTTTAGCTTCCTTTGTATAAAGTTTTAACTTTTGAGTCGCTTGGACTAATTTAAATTGCACGTTGTATACCATTAAAACAGCACCTTCTTCTGACACATCTGCTCCATAAGCAGCTATCATTGTTTCGTTTAATGCTACCATTATGACAGGATGCGTAGTATGAATATTTGCAATGACACTGATTAATTTACTTGGCTCTGAATCAGAGGTATCAATTAGCGAATGACTGTACAATCTACCATGAGACCCTAAAATTGAGTAGACAGTGATTTATTGCTAATACTTTTATAATTAAACATAAATTTAACATTAATTAAATTATTAAAGTATTTGCTTACATAAAGTTAATAGGTATGCATTAGATTTACTCTGCATTACTACATGAGAAACAAGTTCTTCTGATGTACGCTTTAATTCAATTCTTTTAATATGATCTGACTGTACACAATTACCATTATTAAGTTCAACAATAATGTAATTGTATATTTGATCTATTTTTGTTAATTCGCATAAACTTGCTTTGCCATTCAAATATATCAATTGGCAATCTAATAATTTTTCTTCAGACTTTAAAGTTCCTTTATTATACCAAGATTTTCTATTTTGTAATGCCCATTCTAAAGATGCCGTAGCTCCATTTTGCTGTACCACCACAGGTGGTAAATCATCATGAACTAATATAGTATGAAAGGGAAATTGAAATTTATATCCCTTTACGTTATTCAAGTCAGATTCTTCAACTGACCATACCTTAATTTTTCTTTCATTAAATACTGCTGCATATCGCTGGGCTGTTTTATCATAAATTACTGAAGTAGTAAGTCTTTCTTTGCTAGACCAACTGCTTATTTGTTTCAAATCTTGCAACTAAAAATATAGAACATATATACATTTGCATATACACACAACATTATTTATATATTTCTATGAATAAATATTTAATATCTTTTAACATCTTAAAGTGTATATATAAATTGAATAAAAGATCCTTTTTTAAAAACATGTAACCAATAAAAAAATTAAGCGTATAAAATATTAAAAAAGATTATATTATAGTTTTGAGTTAATTGAAGTACAAAAACTAACCTTATATCTTATGACAATATTTCTACCAAGAGTAACAATGGCACATCCTGGATCTGAATCTTTTTGGACTCCTAAGAGATTTTGTTGGTCGATTAATGGACACAACGTGTAGTAGGAACTGAGTTTCGCCATTTTATTAATTTTTTATTAAAAAGCCGAACGTTCATATAAAACGCGGTAAACTAAACTACACGTGAGTATTCGCGGCACAAGTTTTGATATAATGGATACACATTCAACTTCACACAGTAGACTACAGCGACATCTGAAACAATTATTTGAAGTTGGCCATCAATGCCGTACATATAAATAACTTCAGAGGGCGTGAAAAAAAGCATGGCGTAAATGTGAATATAATGGTGATGGCGTCAGTGAATGCAATGATCATCTATTTACAGACAATTCTCGATGACGAATATCGTCTTATCGTGTAGTAATATATTATAAAAAATGGCTGAACCACAAGAGCAAAAGAATAAAGAAAATACAAGTGGTGGATTAAAAGATGCAATGGTGAAACACGAGAAACGGGAGGGTACGCTGACAAATGGCGGGAAGGGATCCGGCGATGATGCGGACAGTCTTGAAGAATTACCGCTGGATATTGGCGAACATTATCTTGTTCGAAGATCCGATGATTCGTGGCGTAAATAAACTATACCATACATGTTCATTTATTCTATTTGTTTTGATTTTTTTCATTTATTATTTTTTAGTTTCTTTTGTTTTTTTGTTTTCTTACTTTGTGCCGGCTTTTATATACGATGCTATAAAATATTTTCATGAAAGATTACAAATAACAATTTAACATTGTTATTTGCTTTTTTTTTTTAACGTAACTTTCAAAGAAACAAAAAAGTTCTATTAATCGAAAAAAAATAATGAATAATGAATATTGTGAATGAAGATTTTACAAATTGATAATTTGAATTTGTAGATCTGTATATGTTCCTTTTTCTTTTCCTTTTCTTTTTCTTCAAAAAATGTGAAGTCTATGTTTTTATGCAATTAAGAATAAAATTCTAATTATTAATGAATTATTAAATTTAGATCCTGCTGAAATCATTCAAACACGTTACAATGAAAATGAAAGTCATTATGAATACTATGTTCATTATGAAGGACATAATAGAAGACTGGATGAATGGGTACCCCGTGATAGAATTATGTCCAGTAGATTTGATATGAGCGATAGAAGTTGGAAAACCGGAGATAGAAATTCTACCAGTGATTTATTAGCAGATTCTTCTGATCGTAAGATAACCAGGAATCAAAAAAGAAGGCATGATGAAATTAACCACATACAAAAGGTACATTATTATTTAAACTAGGAATAAAATTTACCTTTAAATTATAACTTCTATCGTTATACTTTTGTAGACTTATGCAGAAATGGATCCAACGACTGCTGCTTTGGAGAAAGAACATGAAGCTATAACAAAAGTTAAATATATAGACAAAATTCAAATTGGTAAGTGTGTTGATTTATGTATTTAGAATATTTTTAATACAGTGCATATTTATCATTAAATAAGTCTCATGACTTTTAAAAGTTTCATTGTAGGAAAATATGAAATTGACACTTGGTACTTCAGTCCATATCCGGAAGAATATGGTAAGCAACCGAAACTCTGGATCTGTGAATACTGCTTGAAATATATGCGCCTTGAAAAAACATATAGATATCACATGGTAAGAGTAATTTTTTATTTTAATTGTAATTACTTCATTACTTTGTAAACTTTAATTATTTCGTTTTCAGAGTGAATGTACTCATAGACAGCCCGTTGGAAAAGAAATATATCGTAAAGGAACGCTGAGTATTTGGGAAGTAGATGGTAGAGAGCATAAAATTTATTGCCAGAATCTTTGCTTATTAGCAAAATTATTCTTGGATCACAAAACACTTTATTTTGATGTTGAACCTTTTCTTTTCTATATTTTATGTGAAGTGGATAAACACGGAGCACATTTAGTTGGATACTTCTCTAAGGTAATAAATGTTTTCTATTAAACATTAAATAATCAAGTAAGTAGTATCACTTCAAATATAAAAGTCTTTTTTATTCGTAGGAAAAAGAATCTCCCGATGGCAATAATGTAGCTTGTATATTAACTTTACCTCCGTTTCAAAGACAAGGATATGGAAAATTACTTATTGCTTTTAGTTATGAACTTAGCCGAATTGAACAAACCGTTGGAAGTCCAGAGAAGCCATTAAGTGACCTAGGAAAATTATCTTATCGTAGTTATTGGAGTTGGATACTTTTAGAAATCCTTAGAGATTTCCGTGGTACGCTTAGCATTAAAGATTTAAGGTAAACTGGCAATAATTGCACACTATATAAAAAAATATAGTGGGTGATTATCTACTATATATTTATCTTTAACTTGATTGATCATATATATTTAAATATTTAATTAAGCATTAATTTTTTTCAGCCAAATGACTAGTATTTCACAAACGGATATCATATCGACATTGCAAAGTATGAATATGGTAAAATATTGGAAAGGTCAACACGTGATTTGTGTGACTCCTAAATTGGTCGAAGAACACATAAAAAGTAGTCAGTACAAAAGACCCAGACTTACTGTAGATAGTAGCGCATTAAGATGGGGTGCACCACCTCGGAAAAATGTGAAACCTGGTAAAAAGTAAAATATGAAACGATTAAACTTAATAATTTTTATTTTTTTTTTTGACTAATTAGAGATGTTATAAATAAGATAAGACTAATGATAGAACGATACGTCATAATATTAAATCTATATATATAGAATCTACATAAAATTCTTTACGACTGTGAAAAGATTGTATAAATTTAATATATAGAGAATGCTTATTTGTTGTAACTTTCATTTTTATAAGTATCAAAATATAATTGGAAAAGTTGTCAAATATTTCAAAATTAAATCGTTTCATTGAATTATTTTAAGTTAGGAAACAAAATAAAACAAATATTTATTTATTAATAATTATGTAATTTTCAAAAAACCACCTACACACACTCACATGCGTTCAGTATAATTTTTCAAATTGTTAAAAATGAATTATCTAAACTTCTTACATAACCGGAAACAACTTGTATAAAAAAACAAACGAGCTGGTGTGATATCGTACAGTATTAATACAATTAACAATTTTCTTGTATAAATTCGATAATTAATAAAATATATTTATCAATCTATTTTTTCTATCAAATAGAGTCAATGATATCTTTAAAATAATATAAAGAATTAATCTTTATTGTATTAATGTGTGTAAAACACATTAGTTATAGTTTTGCAATAGACGATCTGTGAGCATTTATAGCTAATTGTACAGCATATTGAGCGGTACCAGGAGCTGTACAAACGCCGTAACCGCCATGTCCATAATTATGTATTATCTATAGCAAACAAACAAAGTTTTATAATTTATATCTCTAATCAAGAAATATGATATCGATACTAACTGTAGTTTTAGCACATCCATCAGAAATGAATTCTAGTTCGACTTTAACACCACCATCTCTATGTGGTCTTAAACCTACTTCTTCTCTTATATTTTTAGCCATTTTGAGAGATGGTACAAGTGTCTCGCACCGATTACGAATCGCAGCAGATTCATATGGACATAATTTTAGATTTTCAGAATCGAAATTTCTTGTTCCGCCTAAAGTAACTACTCCATTAAATCCAGGAATTATATAAGTATCTAATTCACCATAAAAGAAAGTTTTTAACCAAGGAGCAGCGACCTACTCATCAAAAAATATATGAAAAATTAATTTCTATTAATAGGAAATATAATAATAATTACATTTATATACATAAAACATACTTTAATTACTTGTCCACGTATTGGAACCATATGTCTATCGTTGCATAAATTTCTAGCCCCAAGTCCGGTACAATTCATTATTATATCATATTCTTTAGTTAATTCTTTTAATGAATCTATTTTCTGTCTCTTTATAGTAGCTCCGTTGGATTTTAATCTATAAAATAATATTAAGAACTTGTCATTGATTATCATATCATATAATCTATGACATAAGAAGATAACTCACTGTTGTAAAGTCCACGGAAGATATAATTTGCATTCTGTGAGCAATGTTGTAAAGAAGCAACCAAATTTCCAATCACCTCCAACTAATTGGAATTCCTCTTCTGTTACATTTCTGTATATTGGCATCAATTTTTCCATCCAATGATTCTATTTGTCAATAATTTTAATGAAAAAGAAAATTATAATCTTTTATAAGGAAAATGCGTAAATTTTGTGTACGATGGAGACAATTATCATTATATTTTGTTATTTACAAATGAGTATGTAAGTTGGAAAGTTTTGAGTTTCAATAAAAAACTTTTTATGTTAAGTTCAAAGCTTTTCAACCCACCCATATATTTATAATAAATAAATGTCTCATTTAAACCTTTATAATATTTAGAGAATTGGCAAACATATAGCCCGAAATACTTGTTACTCCTGCTTGAAATGCATCGGGTAGTTTACTTATATCATCATAAAATGAATACGAATCCTGTATCCATTTCCTACACAAAAAATAATTTATATTTATATTGTAAACAAATTGATTTTATTAAAATAAAACAGTGTGTGTGTAAAATAGTTTTAACATTGAAAGTAAATACAATTTGATATAGATCAAAATTAGTAGTGGTAGGTTTACTTTTAATGTTTCATCATAAGTGCCATGAAACCTTAATTTTAAAAATATCCTTACATTTAATAAAATAAGATAAAAAATAAAATATATTTATAATAAAAAGATCAAGTGACAGCTATTATTCACCTTGTTATCTCTTCGCTAGGTCCACAATATGATGATCCGACACGGAATATTCCTGCTGCAACATTACTAACAATATTATCCAAATTGGAAGCATAAATTGTTATTTCTGCATTATGCAATGTACGTTGCATTTGTAAAGCAGTGGTTAAACCAACTGCACCACCTCCAATAACTGCGATTTTCATTTTCTCTCTACAAAATAATTTGACTGAATGGATTATCACTTCTTCTTTAATGATTTAAAAAAAACAAACTTCTTTAAAGATAACAATTTTTATCTACTAAAAGAAACATTACGGTACAACATCCTATTTCTCTGCATATAGTATATATAAAGAGCATATATATATATATATATATATATATAATTGTTTTTCTTAATTCATTTTCTCGACAAAGTAGGAAATGCCGACATTATTCACAATGCCTGACGTTTTTATTAGGCAATGTAGGAAACAAGAATTGTTACGCAACAATTGTACATAATCTTAGACATTGTATACAATACTTAGGCATTCTACAGAATACCAAATGTTGAGAAGAATACATTATCGGGCAACATGCGTGCGCACACACACACCATACAAGCGATCAGCTGATCAAACGAACCGAAAGAAGAAACGATGAAGGAGAGCTCCTTCTGTTGATTTTTGGGCTTCCTCGAAAAGATAACGGACCGCCGACCAGTACATTACGTATCTCTACATGTGTATTCCTCAAAAATACAAATTTTATTATGAAAATATAATGCAAGAGAAAGAGAGAGAGAGAGAGAGAGAGAAATTTTTAATTACATTTCATTACATTTTTCACGCAAAGACAGTTCACATAGTTTGGCACTTTTTTTTACACATACATTTGACGAATCTTTGGCTACTTCCTCTAAACTGAGTAATTGCAACTAACCGGAAGGGAATTTTATGATTAGGAATATCTTCAATTTTAAACAAGTTCTTAGGGCATAAAGTGAATTATGATCTCGCATCTACTTAGTTTAAAATTCCTTGAAAAGTTCCAAGTCGATATAAATCTGTCACACTCATTACATCTACCAATATATTGCGCGAATCATCTCGCCCCTTGTTAACGTCAGGAATAGGAACTCGCACAGTAATTCCCAAAGAAACAGTAGGAAATTGTTTTTCTTAATTCATTTTCATTTTTTTTGCTTCTACTTCCACTTTGATTTTAGAATCTATTTTATCTTCATTAGCATTTTCAATTGTGAAACAAAGGGGGCACAAAGTATCCTTTTCATTATCTTTACTAGCATGACCACAAAAGGTATGAATTTTTTGACGACACTTTTTGCATGCAAGTACATCATTCGTTTCCTTTAAACACATATAACAGGTATCAGAAACGGAAATCTCTTCGGTAATCATGACTTCATCATGTTGGTTATCGACATTAATCTCTTCCATGTTTTCTAAAATAGTCTCTTTTTTTTGTATAATCTGATTAGTTTCACCTTTTTCCATTGTTTGGATGCTTTCTATTACTTTTTCTAACTGTTCCTCTGTATTTATGCCTTTTAAAACATCTTCTGGTAGAGAAGACGTTGTAAGCCCCATTTTTGATTTACAGCCAAAAAGAGCTTCGTATGGTGTTTTTTTGATCCCAAAATGATAAGCTCTATTTTTCATAAATTGAACGAAACGCAGTCCTTCACTCCATTGGCCAGATTTGTTGTCCTGCATCCAAGTACAGAGCATATTTATGATATCTTGATTAGCTTTTTTGACATTACCCTGGCTTAGTGAATGGCAAGGCTCGCCATGGACGATCTTCAATGCTGGCCAAAACTCCTTCAAGCTGATTACCACATTATTGGTAAATTCTCTACCATTGTCAGACTGTAATATTGATGGCGCTCCAAGCAACAAGAATATGTCCACTAGGTTATTGGCTACTTCTTCAACTTTTGTTGACGTTAGAGACTTAAGAATCACAAATTTTGTGAGATGATCTTGGTACACCATAATAAATTTGTATTCTCTATCTGGCTGAGACTGAAAGTCAATAAGATCTACCTGACAACGGGAATTAAACTCGGAACAAATCAGAGGAGATTTCACAACAATGCCTCTTTTAATACCTTTCTGTTTTTTCTGGCAAGGTTCACAAAGGTGGATGTACAGTTCAACATCGTGACGTGTAACGTTTTTGTATTTGGTTGAAAGTTCTTTCATCATTCTATCACGTCCTCCATGTCCAATAGCCAAATGAGCTTCATGAAGTACGTGAAATAACTCTGAATCCGTGACGTAATACTGTATAGTACTGAAACCTTCTTTAATAGGATAAATAAGTTTATTTTTTGTTTCTACGGTTATCACATCATAACGATTCAGCAACTTATAGTCCCTTGGTTCTTTCTTAGTAGCTACTTTAGCTTTCTGTACATCATTTATTAACTTCTGGTAAGTAGTTTCGGTTAAGAAAAAACTGTTTCTTGCAGCATTAACCCGAATTTTGGAGAGTTCATCGTCGAATCGTCGTTTCATGTCTACTAAACATGATTTCTTCTCCGACACTACAGTTTGCTTCTCCATTTTTATGGAGCACAGTAAAAAATTAATTTTTTTTTTAACAAATTGAACACTTTGCTACGCGAGTTTTGTGCGCAGGTTTTTAAGACTTTACATACCGCCATACTTCTTCTACTTTAATTTATAAAAGTGCACGACTTCTATAAATTAAAACTTACTCAATGCCGGTATGTTATTATGTAGGATCCACTGTTACTTATCGTAGTAGAAGAAGATTATTACATTTAGACCGATATTCATAGAGGTTACCATGGAAAATCTGTATCTTTTGTTCCTTATCATAGCAGAAAATAAGCACGGTTAGAACAAATTGTTTCATACCTGCATTTTATTGAAAATCATTCGAAACGAATCGTAGATGTATTTCTTACTTTGCCAGTTTCTTATTTGTCATTCTACAGAATGCATAGGAAATGTGAAAAATATGAATACATTTCCAGCTAGTTTAGGCATTGTGAAGAATGTCGGATTTCCTACTTTACCGGTAACATATGTATATAATGTCTTTGTATCCTTTATAAAAACTTTATGGGTGAATAAACTGAATTGGGTTTCACTATAAATAGTTTTTTATTTATTAAACAATAATTACAGTTTCTTTACATTATTTACATTATATATATATATATATTTATAATTCTCTTACCTATAAATAGAGAAACGACATTTAAGCCTATTCTTCCCTATCTTTCTTTTAATACTAACAATTACAATCAATAAATCTTTCTTTCTCGATTTTTACATTTATTTTCATACACGTGTCACTCTTCTTAATTACAACTCAATTACCTTCTATTGTTTTTATGCGATCTCTATTACCGACAAGTCACGTAGCAAATTCAAATGGTTTGTAAATAGTATCTATACTACTTTATATATATATATATATATATAGGGAGAGAGAGAGAGAGAGAATGATACGTAATTAATATTGAGAACATAAAAGAACTAAAAATGTATAAAATGATGCTTAAAATGTATGTGTGATCATCAATTTAATAAAAAATTAATTACTTATTGTGTTAATTTTGTATTACAACAACACTATTTTTGTTCTTATAAATTAATGCATATATATTGATCGAATAGTATATCACATGATCATTCGTGTTTACTTTCCAAAGTCTAATATCGTAATAAATAAAATTCGGTAAAACATAATTATTTTATACTTTCAATGATTACTGAATGTTTACAACGTTATGGTTAAATAACAGAGTCGAAATTTACCTTGTTCCTTTATTTAAATGATTAGTTTTTAGTTAGAATTATTTCTATCAACCGTACACATATATGTACGCATATAATATATATATATACACAAGTCTCATCATTACTTTTTTGCATAAAAATTACAAAGCAAGAAAAAACTTTGTCGAAGGGCTAACTAAAAATTATTCACAATTTTTCAAAAACGAGCATTGTGCTGACAAAACTACAAAAATAAAATATACACATACATTTATTCGTAATATATTAGCGCGATGTGTTTCTAATATTTTAAACATTTATTTATGTATTCTTTTTTTCGTTTGCTATCAAAAATATACCAATGCAATTAATCATGAAAAAACAGGATGTAGTTTATGTTGGAACAAGGATTAACGTAAGTTTCTTTTTTTTCTTTTTTTTTTTTTCTTTAGAATACTATATCACCCTAGTTATTGCAATCGACCAGCTATTTACAAAAGCAATAAATTGCATTATCTCAAATAATTTTCTCACTTCCCATCACAGGAAATAGTATTTGAGAGTATGCTTCATTACTCCTCTTCATACCAAATATTCTAGGATTGTATTTTCCCACAAAGATGAACTGGTATAAATTGGCTATTTCATGATTACTATATAAAAGAATTGTACAATAAGATAAAATCGAAGTTTCAATAAAAAAGTAGACATATTGTGATTGAATCCTTATGCCTTAGTACAAGGTTGTATCGTGTAATTTAATGGCGGTGGAGGAACTAGAAGTGGTAATGGAGTTGGTGGTGGTGGAGCTTGTACTGGAGTTGGCGTTGGAACGATTGATGGTGTTTCAGTAGCTCTAACTGTACCACTATAGGCTGATAGATAACTGGGCCATAAATTTGGAGGCGGTGGAGAACCTGGTGGCGGTGGCGGTGGTGGAAGATCATCCAATTCATCGGAATCTTCTATCATCATAGCAGACAAAGGAGTGACGCGTGGCTTCTTCAATTTAATTATTTTTACCTAAAATATTAATGTATACATAATACATATTTTTACAACAAATTATTTAACACAAATTTTAATCTAATTAGAAGATAAGATAAAAGTGATATCCATTATAAAATGTATAAAAAGTTATACTCTTAATTTTGTTAACATACTTTAACTTTTTTCTTTGTTTTGGGATGTCTCGCTCTTTTGTCTTTCTTCATTCTTTTAGAAATGGATCTCTTTAAGTCGCAAGAATTGTCCTGGGATATCATACTTGAAGGGGGAGGCGGAGATGGCATATCTCCTTCTCCACCGCTAGGACTAGTTCCTTCGCCAGGTTTAACACCGTCCGCAAATTGAACAGATTTCTTTGTTCTTCTTTTCTTCTGCGATAATTTTAACTTTAACTTCATTCTATGCTTTGTTGCATTAATTTTATTCTCAATGGTATTATCGCTTTTGTTAACATCACTTGTTTTTTCTATATCCACTTCCTCTTTATCTATACTATCTTCATTATCCTCATCTAATATAGAAAGATTATCTATGTTCCCATTAGAAAATGTATCTTTTCTACAATTAAAATATATATATATATATTTCATTAATATATAATAAATATAGATAAGTATTTTTATATAAAAAAACTTTGCATACCTAAAGCCAGGTGATATAAGTATTCCTTTTAAAGGTGCTATAGGTAAAAGAGGCCAATCTTTGGGTTTAGATTCTGCTTGATTTGTATTAACGTCATTGATTGGTACTTCCGTCTCTTTATTATCTTCCTTTCGATTTTCTATTTTGAATATTGACTTTTGATCATTTAGTTCTTCTTCTTCTTCATCATCTTCCGGTTCTTCATAATCATCATCTTCATCTTCTCCTTCTGCTTCTACTTCTGCTTCCACTTCTGCTTCCGCTTCTGCTTCCGCTTCTGCTTCTGCTTCCGCTTCCGCTTCCTCCTCTTCCTCGTCATCTTCATCGTCATCTCCTGCAACATCTTCTTCTTCTTCTTCTACTACTACAGACGATACTAATGGAATTGAATTGTCTGGTTCCTTTCCTAACTGGTCATCTAAGGTGGCTTCCTCATCTACTTCATGAAGAGCTTTTATAACCGATCGATCTATAGACGGGGGTATCTTCCGATGATCTAATAATGTTGTATTATCCGATTGTGGTGTACCTATTGTTTTCTTTTCAAGAAGTCTAAGTGCTCTTCGATTAATTTTTTCTATTCGTTTGCGTTCCTTTTCTTTTCTTCGTATTTCGCGCAATCTCTTACGTTCTTCTCTTTCTTTTCGACGAGCTTCAAGTATTGCTTCATAATTATATACTGGTTGTTGTACCGACACTTCTACAATTAATATAGTATAATTTTATTTTATATTCGTTTAAATAATGAAACAAATAAATTTAACTTACTCGGTACTGTAATTTCTGGTCTTGCATATGTTGTCCCAGAAATTGGTATTGGTACAGGTGCAGGTACAGGAACTGATAGAGCTAAAGGCACTGGGGATAAGGTCGAACTTTGTGTTGGTGTTGATACCACAGAAGGAATAGTGGGAATAGTAGGAATAGTGGGAATAGTGGGAATAGTGGGAATAGTGGGTACTGGCATAGGAACAGGAGCAGGTACAGGAACAGAAATTGGGACTGAAACAGGAGAAGGTGCAGGTTCAGTAGAATACGAAGTTGTTCCTGGTTGATCTACAGTTGACTGTGTACTACTGCTCCAGTCTAAGGACGTTGGTACTACTTGAAGGACATTACCAACGCGTACAACTTGACTGGATCCGTGTACGATTGGAGGAGTTGTAATTGCAGGTACTTCTGTACGTGTTGGAGATATTCCATTATAATCTGCAGGTACCACTTGTAAAACATTACCCACCTATATCAAGAAAAACAATTATAATTATTGTAATACTTCGTAGTTCAATAGATTAACCTTTTCTATCAAATTAAATTCATTAATCTACTACCAATTGTTTAATCAAATATATAAATATATTTAATATATTTATATATATTTTCTTTTCAACATTTATATATTTACCTGCAATACTGTAGTAGGTTGACGGCGGTACAATTGTTGTTGCTGTTGTGGTGGAGGAGATGGATATACAATGGTATTTGCATTAAAATTATTGGAATAATCAGAGAGTATATTTGTTTCTTGCTCGTGTTGCTTTTTAATTCCTAATTCTAATTCCAATCTGCAGTTAAATAAATAATTACCGATTAATATAAATCATGTATAGACAACTATTAAAACATGTAACTTGTGGAAAATTAAAATTGGTAAATAAAAAGGTTCGTGTTATTATAATCATTACCTGTCGTCGAGTGACAAACGCTTTGGAGAATTTGCAACAGTAGTATCGTTTATGCAAGGAGGGTAAGTTAAGTTATTCTCCGTGTAATAATAATCATTACTAGACTCGCTCGCACCAGGATATTGAAAGTTTGAAGATACATTATCAATACCGCCAGAAATCTGCATCTCTGTATCCATAACAGTAGAATCTGCTGTTACCCTTGTCACACCGGATGTTGACTGCACAATTGTCTCTATGCGTCTACCGGTTTCTTCACAATTTTTCCTACTATCTCTTAAATTTCCATTGATTTGATCCCTTAATAAAGAAGGTGACCTAATTATATAAAAATTTATAATATTATACATAATAAATTCATGACAATCTTATCGTGTAAAGAAAATAACAACTCATAAAATAAACATATACCGAGAAAGACGATGTGTTTCAGGTAATCTTGATTCATATTCAGGACTTCGTTTTCTCGATCTAGTT